TTTTTTATAGGTGAGTATAAATACTTAATTACATTAAAAATAAAATTATATTAGTATGTATAATTATAAAATTTAAAATTAGGTATATATTTCGTTTCTGTAAACGTTCCAAATTATAAGAACTTACGAAAACAAATAATTTTAGTAGAATTGAGTTTATTCATAATATTAAAAAGTTAAAGTTTACTCTTTTAATACATACATAAAGGCGAAAGTATGTATGCTAAATCATACCCTGTAAGGTAAATGTTAAAACTATTATAAAGTTTAAAAGAAATGACACTTTTTTATTTATTTCAAAATATTGTTTTTTGTCAACGATATACACATTAACAGAAATTTATCGTTGTTTTATATTGTATATTAAAAAACATAAAATTTTAATTTGGTACGATTTAAATACTGATTTGCTAAAAATTGTACCCATGATTTTCTAAATCAAGCATATAACAATAAAATTATAATATTGTAACAAAAATATACTTTTATTTTCTATAAAGTTCTCAGCCTTAACATTAAATATAACTTTCAGGGAAACAGATATCATCTACGATAAAAATTTATATTCTATTGCTCACAAAATTGAAGTAGCTCAATTAGTAGGACGTAAAGTGACACAACAATGGTTTAATAACATGATGAACAATCCGTCAGTGTCTGATTTTTGGTTTAAAAAAGGTCTTACTACATTGCTTGCAACGTATGCTGTCGATAAGGTTATTCTAAATATTTTCAACGCTATCTTGGTCACACCTTCTCGCAAACAGAATTTATGCATTCATGTTGCAAGATTTTCTTAAATCAAACCTTTTTACAAAATCCATACACATTTTTTGTGAATTGTCTTAAAAACATTGAGTATTATATAAAATAATCAAATGTTTTTTTTAAATACTTTTTCACACATTTACATACATATAATTATAACAACAATTACATACATATAATTATAATTTAATTTATTAAAAATGTCTTAGCACCTTTTCTTGAATATTTTTAGATTTTTATGAATTCTAAAATAAAATAAATTAATTAGAAACTAATACACGTAATATTTATGTGAATAAATTTGATAAAGAGAAATCTGCAATATAATGTCATGAGACAATAATTTAAAAATATGTAATATTTGCTAATTAAATTAATACAAAATTTTAGATTTCATTATTATATATTTATTTTAATGTGTATTTTAAAATAAGAAAGTGTTTTGTTTTAACAATGAAGTAACGTTAATAATATTAGTTTTTGTTTTTAATGCAATTATTTTCAAAAAGGTTACATTGATATATTAATTATCTTTTATAGATTTATCCTGACGATCGAATAATAAATTTATTTGTCGTTCAAAATCAACATTACTCTTTTCATTTGGATGGTGATAATCATATGTGGTCATCTACTTCACAAGTTAACAGATTATTGGAAATTCGTAATTCAATCAGAGGTAATATAATAAAATAATCCGCCTAAATTTTTAACTATTAATACTTTAAAATATGTGTAAAGTTAGAAGATAATTAATACTGTATCTGAATATTAATTAAATATTATTTTTATAAAAATACACACACACGCAAACGCCACGCTCACGCAAACGTACATGCACACGCTCACGCACATGAAAATGCACACGCACACGTATGTACGTGTGTGCGTATTCATGCATATTCTGTCATTAATGTTTAAGGTATTTATGCATATAAAAAATATATATGTGTGTATATATAATTTGCAACTAGCCGCTACACAGTTTTCTTTGAAAACTATGTGGGCTTTTTGCAAAAATATTGATTTTTCTCATTATTTTATATACAAAATTATTGAGGCTAGAATGACGAAAAATTAATATTTCATGAGATATTTAAATTTATGTAAAGTAATGAGTTAAAGATTTAAAATATCCAGTAAAATATTCTCTTTATAATTATCTTATCCTTAATGTTTTAATAATGAATATTGCGAAGAATCGATTTAGAAATAAATTAAAACAGATCTATTAAAAAAACCTAAATATTCTTCAAATAATCTTCAAAAGCAGCCTATAAGAAAATGTCTATAGAAATCACCTGTTTCTATTTAGAAATCATGCAACTTTTATCTAAAACGTTTTCTCTAAATAAATTGTTTATTGTATCTTTGTATATATATTTAAAATGAATTAATTTGTGCGTGTGTGTGCGTGCGCGTGTGCTTGCGCGTGGGCGTGTGCGTTTTCGTGGGCATGTGCGTTTCCGTGAGCGTATATATGTGAGTGTGTGTGTGTGTGTGTGTGTGTGTGTGTGTGTGTGTGCGTGCGTGTGTGTGTGTGTGTGTGTGTGTGCGCGCGCGCGCGCGTGAGCGTGTGCGTGTGTCTGCGCTCGCATATACATCAACTATTTCATTTTAAAATGTCCATATAAAGATTTTTTGAACAGTTTATTTTAAAGAAAAACATTTTAAATAAAAGTTGTATAATTCGTAAAGACAAACAAATGAACGCTACTGACTTTTTCGTAAAAGTTGATTGTCAAGGTAATTTGAAGATCATTCATGTTTTTTTTTAACATATTGGATCTAAATTAATTTTATTATAAATCAATTTCTCGCAATATTCATTACCAAAACAATAAGTTGTATGGATAAGATAACATGCGCACATACACACACACACACACTCAACACGCGCGCGCGCACACACACGCACATACGAACATACAAAGTGTCTGGTAACACCCTCACATATGTAAGTAGAGGGAATTAATGAAATGGTTCTTTAAAGTTCTGCTATCTTCGTAAGTATTAATGAGTTTACATATAAAATAGAATGATAACGATGCAGCAATAAAAAACATTTTACTTTTACGCAATTATTACCCGATATACAAATATATCAATTTTCCTTAAAAAATCACTTTTTTATAAGTAATCATTATAGTAAATATCTATTTATAATATATATAATTTATAATTTTGATCTAAATCATAGCACCCTTTATACTGCGCATGATGGAACACGCCTTCACCAAAAAAATATTTTGGAAAGGTATTCGCTCATATATAAATAACACGTGAGTAATTCAATGTAAAATATAATATCAGAAAATTAAAATTGTGTAACATAAACAACATTCAATAATAGATGTTGTATAAAATGTCCCTTTCTTTTGGCTTATTCTTACATTATTGTCTAATGTTTTCTTTTAGTACAATAATTTCGTTATTTTCCTAGATCTGCTACTAAATTTTATTTTTAATTTCATTACTTTTTTATGAAAACCGTTTTTGTAGAAAAAAAAGAAATGTTATTTTATCGTTGTCACTTTTTCATATACATATATACATTGTTGTTTTATTTGATAATTATTGTGATATGCCATCTCCGATATCGATAACCTTGTCATATGTTTTCAAGGTCACTGTCCTGAGTATCATAAGGTTTTATGCGTCGCTCATTGTTTATAAAAAAGTTATTACCAAAAAAGTTTTAAAAATATAACAGTAATTTGATCATTAAAGGCAAAAAATTTTTATATAAATATCAGAAACGTTTAAAATTCATTCCTCGGAAATGGGTTAGTTAGAGATATTTTTGAGGAAAGTGGAGTTGGAGGAGAAGAGACGGAGCCCCAGGCACCTACTTGACCCACGCATTTACTTTATTCCACGTCCAAATTTAAATGTATATGTTTTATATATTTGGTCTCGTAATAAAGTAAACGCGTTGGTCAAGAAGGTGCCAGTAGCTCCGTTCCTTCCCCTGCACCACTACCCATTCAAAAATTAATCTTAAACAACCTATGTTTAGCATGAGGAGCAGGGCCCTAGCTTCTTCTTGACCTAGGCGTTTACTTTTATTACGCGTTCAAACATATAATACGCAATTAAATGTACATATGTCACAAATATTAGTTTTATTTCGTAAACTTTGTTAATAACTTTTGTAAACAATGAGCGACGCTTAAAACTTTTTGATACTTACTCAGGACAGTAACCTTGACAAAATATATCAAGGTCATCAAAATCGGAGGTGGCTCCCCATATCGCAATAATTATCTTTTATTTTTGTTTCATGTACTGTTATTGTTTTAAATAATTTCTAAATTGTATTTACTCTTTTTGATTTTTCCTTTATTTCTTCATATGGTCTATAATTCTAATAATTTTTTTTCTTTTAATTGCATTTTGTGCTACATTTGTTTCTTAATCTTATTTATCAAATTTTTACGTCAGGTTTAAACGTCAACTTGCTACCTGGGTATCTCTTTTCCATTTCTTCCCTATTTTTATCTTGGTCTCTCCTAAAACAATTTCCTTTATATTATTCTCCTTTTCTTTTCGTTTTGTCTCGAACTTTTCATTTGTTTTATTTCTCTTTTTAACCATTTTATAACTCTCTCAATAATTTGTTCATATATAATCTATATTAATGCTAATAATGCCTAAAAGTTTAATAAATTTATTATAGAGTAATAGCAAAAAAATCTGTTTTTTCGTCGATTTTGTATCGAATTTTGTGAACTCAAATTTCAAACTTTTTTTTATGTCAAATAGTACTATATAATGAAACATTAATCCCAGAGAAATTTCAAGATGAGCATAGGCACGGTTCCTTAGATATGAAGAAATGAAAGTGATAATTTCTCAAAAAACTGACTAAAAATAATCACTTTTCCCCTTGAGTCTCCAGAACCGTGCCTATGTTTATCTTGAAATTTTACTAGGATTAATATTTTATCTAATAGTACTATTTGGCATGAAAAAGTTTTAAATTCAAGGTCCCAAAAATAGGCAAAATTTAACGTCACTATTTTATTGAAAATTATGTTATATTCTTTATCATCATAATACAAACACATAAAATATATAAATATAAAAATAGAAGTGCAATTTTATGTTTTGCTTTTTAGTATTTATTAAAATTCTCTAAAAAATTAACATTAACAGACAATTTTAACATATTTGTAATTTTTTTATATATTTTACATACTGTGTGAATTTGACCAATTATATCATCAAAGTATTGGGATTAATTTTTGGGATAAAATTGTTGCTGGTGCAGACGAACCATATACAGCTGTAAAAATAATAGATTATTGGCATTTAGAAACGTATTGTCCCATTATAAAAATAACACACAATTTTATTAGGAGCGAAGCAAATGTATCGATTCAAAATATCGACAAATTAAAAATTGACTGCCTTCCTGTAACTTTTACTACGCAAACGTCTTTAGATTTTAACAATTTTACTCATCACATGGTGTGCAAGCCAAAAGATTTGAAATTATCATTACCATTTAATAAAAATGGTTGGATAATATTCAATATACAACAAATTGGTAAATATCGACCAAGGGACTTATTATGTCTTATTTCTCGTCCTTATTTTACACACCCATAATTGCCATTTTCTCATTCTCTCCTTTCTCCTTTATTTTGACTTTAACCTCTGTCTCCTTTTTTATTTCATTTTTTTAACAAAAAACAAAACGTACTTTCCACTCCCTTCTGCCTCACTCTTCCTAATCGTTCCGTTCCTGATTCCACTCCACCCTCTCTTCCTTCTATGTCTAACTCTTCATCTCCTAGATCCTCCCCTTTCTATCCTCATTTCCTATTTTTTCCTCTAGCCACCACCTAACCTACCTCTTCACCATCATCAAGCCCACATTTATCCCAATCTCACATCTCTTCAGTATCCACTCTTTCTCCAAAAATTTATTTTTGTCCACCACTACCTACATCTTTACAATAAATATCCCCCCCTTCTTCAACATTTCCTCCTTCTCTTCTCCTTTTCCTCCACCTCCTTCTTTCTCTTCTTCTACTTCTCCTTTTCGTCTGCTTCCTTTTGTCTCTCTCTCTTTTCTTCTCTACTCTCTTCTCTACCATCCGTATCTCTTCTTCTGTCACTACCTTCTCTTCCGTTCTTCTCCTAGCCTTTTTCCCTTCTACTCTCTTCTCCACAACCGTACTTCTCCTCCCACCACTACATTCTCTCTCGTTCTTCTCGTAACACCTATTTTTCCTCTTGTCAAATCTTCTTTATTCTCCTTTCTCACCATCCCGACGTCTCCACTATCAACTCTATAATTCTACTTAACCACCTATTCTTTCCTCATTTTCATCCTTACATCCACACTTCTCGACCATATTCATACCTTCTCTCTTCTTTTTCTTCTTCACTACATTATACTACTAATTCCTCCTTTATCACTTTCGGTACTACCACGTAATACGTTCTTCTTCTTCTCTTCTTTCTTCTTTCTTTTCATCACTTCTTCTTTTCTTTTTTTTCTTTTTCATCTTTTCTTTACTTCTTTTTCTTCTCTCCACTACATTTTCCTCACACTGTCCTCGCCTTCTTCGCACCTTTTAACCCTTTTTTCTCCTCTCCTTTTTTGATCATTTTTCTTCACTACCACCACATATTACTTTACTCTCTTTACCTTTCTTTTCTCCTTTTTTTTATTTTTTGCTCCAATCACACTTCTCTCCTTTCCACCTTTCTTTCTTCCTAACGTACTTCCTCATCTTTCTTTCTTTCCATCCTCCATACCACAACTCTCCACTACATGCACCAGTCTCTTCACCATAAAATTCAGTTCCTTCAGCTCCTTCTTATATACGTAATTTATGACTTTTTTCTTTCTCTCTATCATCTCAATCCCATCTTCCATCTTCTATCATCTGCTAACAACAAACGTAATCTGCATTATACATATTACTAATATTTTTTTATCTATAATATCATTATATACATATATCAAATTATTATATTATGTATTATATTTAATATATACGTAGTTTATACGTGTAGGGTATACGCGTTTTCTAAATAACACCATCAATATTAATGTTATATTTTTAGAAATATTTTATTTTAATAATAATGAAAATTATTAAAAAGATAATTATATTTATAAATTAATAATAATAAGTACAGATAACATACAATTTTTGCAACGTTACATGTCATAGAAATTATATCGGTTAGCATTAAATAACTATTATTTATGCACAACTAGAATCAATTTTATTTTATGATATACAACAATATCTTGCACAGTTTTATTTTTGCTACTATTTTAAGTATTAAGATGACATTTTTATAATTAATCTTCTATATGCATTTGCATTTTATTTATCGACGATATTAAATTTTTCATACGTTTTTAATTTATAATTTATATAAAGAAAGTATGAAATAAAAATTGAAATAAGTTTGAAAATAACTATATTAATGATAAAATTATTCAAAACAATAAGAATTGATAAAATTTATTTACTATTCGACAGGATATTATCGCGTTAACTATGATGAAGAAAATTGGCAAAGAATTATAAATTATCTACACTCCTTTAATTACAAAAAAATTCATGTTCTTAATCGTGCCCAAATTATCGATGATGCATTCAATTTAATGATAGCAGGCCATCTCCATTCCTATATATTCTGGAACATCATATCGTATTTGTATCAAGAAAAAGATTATATAGCATGGTATCCTTTGTTTAAAGCTCTGGAATATATATGTAGTGCTTTTCCAGTGTTGAAAGAAAAAATTGGATATTTTATGGTAGATATTAATAAATTTTGTTGAAAATATTACAATTTAAATATTTACATATATACACCCATTGATCACAAATAATTTAAATATTTAGAAAAATATATCCAGCAGCGATAAAATTTTACATACTATTACGTCGCAAACAAATGTGCAAACAAATTCAGTTTGAATAATTACTCACCCGAAGAACTATCCAAAAAGTCTATGATTTTCACTACTGCCAATATTATTAGTATATAACTTTGTTATTGGATATATGTATAGCTAGGTGCTTAAAATCTTTGTCAATAAATGCAATTATATTAGCTGTATATAAATATTACATGTTGGTAACTTTAAAAAATAGTACAGGTTAATAATTAAAAGAAATAAAACATATATAGTTGGAGAAATTTAATTATATATTTTTCAAAAGATATATTTTATACATTATTTAAAAATAAAATATAATAGAGAAATATGTAGTTATGAAACTTTAATATTTATTAAATATTATATACATTTCGCACAAATTAAACCTTATTTTTACGTACATGTATATTATAAATGTATATGTGCACGTATACATATGTACGTGAATAAATAAACGTTAGCGTCTATAAGTGAATTTGTTTGTATGTTTGTTTTATAGAAAAAGAAAATTTTAAGAATTTATTGAAAAATAATAAGAAAATTAAATAATTTTTAATCACATTTATAATATGAACAAAGAAATATATATTTAACGATTTATAGTATCGCATAAGGTTGGAATTAATCTGGGTACTTAGAAGAATCAAATATGAAGAAATTGATGATACAGACGAACTTAGAATATGTTTACGACAAGAAGCTACAAGATGGGCATGTCTTCTTGATGACATCACTTGTAAGAAAAAAGCCAACAATAAATTAGAACAACATCTCCAAGATTTTGAAAAACACAAGTAACTATTGTTATATATTGTTAGCTTTTCTTAATTAAATTCTCCGTAGGTATCGCCTATAATGTTTAAATAATTTGATCAATATATTTATATGCTAGTTTTTAATAAGAAAATTTAATTTTTTTTATGTTATAGGGTTTTGCCATGGTGGAAGGAATGGACATATTGTAAAGGTTTGATGATAAATACCAACAAACCGACTTGGGAATCAGTGTATGGTATAGGTGTTGCAAAAAAAGACACTAAATTTTTAGAATACTTGGCTTGCACTGAAGATGCTGATATGATTAAAAACTATTTAAGATATAAATCTATTTTTAAAAAGAAAATCAATATCTTCTTAACAGTTTCTTATATATTATTACGAAGCATGCGAATAATCAAATTATTCTGAAGGACATATTAGATAATTTTGTGAACATAAAACCAAAGTAATGTGACATATTTTTATAAATATTTTGTACAAAAATTTATTGTTTTATATACATTTGCTTTTTGTTTTTAGACATGTTGATATAACTACAGCAATAATTATTATTATTAATAACGTATATTCCGTAAATCTTCTAACTGAGGTAAAAATTTTACATGTTTATATATGTATACAAAATGTAATAATAATGCAATGTTAATAATTATTATTTAATGTTTAAATAATTTTGATAATGTTATAATAATGTTGTTTATTAATAATGTTAAAAAATAATATATTTTAGGAAATAAACGAACACGTTAAATGGTTGAAGGTCAATGCAAAGATATTATTCGATGAAATAAAAGAAATGGTAAATTTAATAAATATTATTAGGAAAATCGAAAGAAAAATAAATCTTTCTTATTAACTTCTGCGTATTAATTTTATATTTGTTTTGTTTATTATATAAACAGTATATTGATTTTATTGTGCAAATTTTTGTTTACATCTATTAGGATTACAGAATGCTGTATTCTGACAAAGCTGAAAGCAAGATATCAATTCGCAAAAGTCAAATCGAAAGACTGAGACAGTATTATAAGTTTTTCTTCGTGTAAAATTAAAAAAATTGCAGCTTTGCATGCATGGATATACTTCATATGAATAATTTTTTTATATTGTATGTATTATTTGTTTTACTACTTTAACTATTATTGTTTATTTAGATGTATTACTATTCGATGCTTTTATATTTACTAAACCTTATGATTGCGTGCCCCAAGTTTATCATGTTTTTGCGAACTTGCTTGAATTAGTTTAACTATATATTATGTAGTCACAAGAAAATAGCGATATAATATTACAATGAATTTCACTATAAGATGTAATATAATATTATAAATGTATATATATATATTTAAATAATATAAATATATAAATATATGCTTGTTAAATGTTAAATGCACCTAAATGTATTATCTATTTATTTTTCATTATATGTAGCTTTGCATTTAATTTTTCTACGTTAATTAATAAAATTATATGTGCGCCCAAACACACACACAAACGCGCGCGCGTTCACACAAATACATCTATATATATATATATATATATATATATATATATATATTATTAATATTATTATAAATATTATAAAAATTTGCAGCCAACATATTTACAATTTATATGTATATTAAAAATTCGTTATTAATTATATATTATATAAATATATATTTAATATTACATACTTAATTTGTTGATATATATCGACATACATATGTCGACCTAAAAAGTTATGTTGACCTAACACAACATATAATTATTACGATGACACGTCCAGAGAATCAGTCAGTCTTTTGTGGTCGTTCGAACCATATCGTAGTAGACATAAAGACTAATGATTGTAATAAAGTGTTTGTGAATAATTATATTCTTCCAACATTGTGCATATTGCTAAATCATTAATTTGCTTTAGTTAATTTAGAAAAAAATATAAATTTTATCAATATAATTTTTTAATTAACATTCGGTTACGAAATACTGGGGGTAAGTCAAGATTAAAATATAAAAACATATATTTATCTACAAACACCAAAATAATTTAATTATACATTATAACGGAATTTTAAAGAATTTCCAACATAGAAGTATAAAGAAAATAATTTTATTATAAAATATTTTCAAATTTGAATCAATTGATAATTTCGAATAGTGTCGATATTATATTTTACGAATTGTAATGTTAAAATAATTTTGGCTCACAAAAATATGATATCAAATAAATTACTTCTGAAACTTAAAAATACTACAATTTACATAACAGATAATAAATATTATAACAGACACTTCTAATTGTCATTTTATTACAAATTATTAAATTTCTGTTTTCTAAAATTTGTCGTACTTATTTTTATAAAAACATATCTGTGTGTATTTTAATATTTAAAATAATTTTTAAATTGTGTGTTGACATTAAATAGAATAGCTGTAACAATAAAAAAAATCTAATATTACTTTTGTTGTTAAAGATTATATACTTACGAAAAATAAGAATAGAGAACAATTGCTTTCAATTTTTATTCGACATATTTCCTAATAAGGGGATATATCGAATACATCATTATGATAACTATGATATATTATAAAAAACGTGAACAAATTAATTTTGTTAAGTGAGAAATAAATATAAATACACTTAAAAATAAGTAGAATTATATTAATCATATAAATTAAAAATAAAATACTAAATATTTTATGTAAAATTTGCCACATAAAATATTTTATATAAAACGGTCAAAACGCATAAGTTAATATTATATTAAAAACGCATAAACAATAGATCATGTCAATTTAATAAGGTTAAAAAGGCTCCAATTAAAGTTGAAACATTTTCAAATATTGGACTTAAATTTAATGATTAAAACTTAATTTTTACTTTTACATTTAAACACAATAATGTTACGTGTATATCGATGATGAGAATATATAAAAAATATTTTAATTAGGAAGATTTGATAAAATAAACATTGATAAAATCTATAGCTTTAATACTTAATAATAAAATAAAGCTATGATGAGAAATTGAGTCAATGCAATTAAAAATTATAAAAATAATTTAATAATTATAAATTATAGAGTAAAATGGTAAAATATTATAACTGTCAATCAAATGAAGAAATCAATAATATAGATTTAAAGCAATTGTTAACACATATATATTTATTTATGCGTTCAATCTGAAATATCTAAAAAACACCTCATTATATATAGAATGTGAGAGGCTAATATGTTTTGCATGTTCCCAAATTTGCTACCATGTATTTTTGCAATCAAGTCTTAAATTAAAATTCTATTAAATGTATAGTTTACTTGAATTTAATTGACCAATGTATTTTATTAATATTTTATTACCACAACGCTTAGTTTGCGAATAACCATTTAATTTCAGTCGTTAATAGTTAAAAAAGTATTAATACTTCGACATTTTCGCTGAGAAAAAATCGTCTAAAAATAAACTCAGATATTTGTTACAATTTAAAATTGATTTTATGTTGGTTTTATTCTCAGTGATTGTCCGTTTAGAGTTTATAATACACAATTTAAGTGAAGAGATAACACAGACCTATAAAGGAAAATAATAATAAACATGTTCTCTCTCTTTCTGTATGTCACTGCTGCTCAGTCTTTCTTAATCCTATTGTTTTCCTTTTATTTCGAATAAACACACAGGCTTATATTTATATAAAAATAACGGCTCTTATGTTTATAAAAGTAATTTGCTTCACACTACTAATTTTATATATTTTACATCTTAATATTTTAACTTTTATATTCTATAACTTTTAAATGTATACAATTTTTTGTAAATGAGAATAATTATTTTAAAAAAATATACAATAAGTTTTCAATTTAATAAATGTCGAATCTGTTTTAGCAATGTAAAATGTGTATAACAGTGTTGCAACATAAACAAAAAATTCGAAAAAAGAAATCCGTTATACTATATATATAATCAGAAAACAATTAATATTTCTTGACCTTATAGTTTATCACTTAGAATATAAAAAGGCAACTATTATGTAACACATGCACTTATATACATATATTTTCTGTACATCTTATAGTATAGTGTTTTTAATTATTTTTTTAATTACAATTTGTGATGCATTAATAATGTTTCATATATTTACAAATATACATTACAATTTACGATTCACTGAATTTTTTATTTTTTTTATAACATTATACACATTGTATGGTTAAATATGTATAAAACAAAAAGTATATTAATATTAATATAAGTCTGCATATATTAAAATAACTCGAACAATAAACAGGCAATGTGATCCAATCCAGATATTTGGACGTTAAGACAGCGAAAATTAATTTTCTGCTGTTTTATAATTGTGAACGAGGCACAAAAGGTAAATGTATATATCTTAAAGTTTATAAAGTCATACAACTTAAATATAAGTACATCAAAAATTATTTGTGCACTCAAGGCTGTACTATTTAGTTAATTATTAAAAATAGTTTTATTTTATTTTAATATATATATATATTGTGACGTGACATTTTGTACTGTCCGTCACAAGGGCCGAAGGCCCGGCCGGGAAGGCGGGAAATTCGGGAACCTTTGCTCTCTCGTCAATCTTTGAGAGAGAGAGAGCACCCGAAAAACCATTTTTGCGTTTTCTACCGCGTCGGAGGATGCGCTTCGCGCATCCGTTTGGCGAATTACTTTTTGTATGATTTTTGTTTGAGCGATTTTTGGCGTTTTCGGCGAGCAATTTTGTATAGGGTACGTGTCTCAACCGAGGAAACCAATAGAGAGAAGGAGTGAGAGGACGGAGAGGACGAAGAGGACGATTTAGGACCGAGCAGAGACCACCAAGTCCGGATCCCGCCCGGTAAATATTATTTTCGCACCAAATTTCTGGCTTGCCCCTCTCGTTAAGAACCTGGGTACCGCCGTAAAATGTTCCTTCTTCCGCAGAGATTCCGGCCCGAGACGGGGATGGCCACTCTCTCGCGAGAGGCGAGAGAGCCCCGGAAACGAAAGGCGCGGGAGATATCCTGCCTCGAGCCCCGCAGATCCGGATACACCGAAATCCCACCATCGATCAAACAATCGATCTGGCGGATTTCTGGGAGGAATCGCGAAGAGGTGCACTCGTAGGAGTCTTCCCGACGGCCTATAAAGAGGAACAACGGAACCCGAAGCGGAAACACAGAGGAACGGCGAGGGAAAATTTACATCAAGAAAATTCGCAGGGCCCCGCGGGGTACCCGGCGGCCCTGCCAGGATAAGGAGCGCCACGGGTGGAAAATGCCAAATTTAGTATCGGCGTGATCCCGGCAGGCCTCTTGCTCGTCACTGTTCGGCGAGGCGTCCAAGAGAGTAGAGGTTCCTGCGCGGATGCCGAAGGATACAAGGTCCCGACGATACCGGTGAGACGAACGGCCCTATTTAATATTGTAAAGCCGCTAAATTCCTTGTGAGTACCGTATTCGGGAGAGAAGCGTGTCACGGCCGCGACCGGTTATTAGATTCACCGGTAATTTCGCGATTTTGAGAGTTTGATTTAGAGTTTCGTTCCGCGTAGAATTTATCCCGGCGCCCGGCCGACCGCGTGCTCTCTCCCGCGCGTATATTAAGAGAGGCTCTCTCTCCCGCGGATACGCCGACAGTCGCCGCGATTTTTGTCACGTTAATGTAAAAATTAACGTATCGTCTTGTACGTACTGTATCGTTCTCGTCTGTTAGAGTTTCTAGATCGGAGAATAGAAAACTATTTAGAGTCACGCATCCGAAATAGCGTATTCTCTCCCGCGCATATCCTTATCCGTGCCGTCTTCGGATTATTTGTGAAATATTGCGAGGGACGACCGGCGGAGCGATCTTAAAGAAAGTCGCGCGGGACCTACTCGAGTTTACGGGAATTTGGTATTGCCTAGAACCATCGAAATTAATTACGCCGCACGGACCTTATTAAGTCTCGTGCGTTAATAATTATTCGACACGTAGGCGTGCAAATTTATTTCCGGGTCCCGCGTGTCGTCCGATATCACCGCGTCGGGTCGTCTCAAAGGCGTGGAACAATAACAACGCGCCGCGTCTCGGCCGTACATACGCCGTATTATATTTTTCGAATAAAATTTCGGCCTCGTTATCTGTATTTCGGCGTTGTTCAAGCGGAGATCTCCCCGTAATATATTGAACGAATCGTAATTTTCTTTCTGAACCTAACATTGTACTCAAGTTTTCTATTATTATTTTTCTGTCTATCCTCGTTTCTCATTGTTTAAATATATTTGATGCTTGTTAATTTTAAGCGATTTCAAATAGCCTCTCTCGAATCCCGTTCTCTCTCCCGTCCGAACTCCCCCCTCTACCCCCTGACGACCTGAGCGAGTCGATTATCGCCGTCGCGGAAATTTTCGGGATGAACTACTAATTATAAAGGTCATTTGTCGATTTGTGAATTTTCAGAGTGGCGCGAATCTCGCGCCTGGCGCCCAATCAAACAGATTTTTTTTGTGTTTACGCGAATTTCCCGCTTTCCGCGCCGAAGGTGTGCCGTCGGCCACTTACATCGGCCCTATTTCCCGGATCCTTTTCTATCCAACGGACCATATAAAATCAACGGTTACAATATATATATATATATATATATATATATATATATATATATAATATATTAATTATTAGTACTTAATACAATATTATATTTGTATATATTAGTTACATAATTTTTTAATATCTTTTATTAATTATTATTATTTTTGACAATAACATATTAATATTTAAATGATTGTGTGTGTGTGTTTACATTAAAATGATAATAATAAATACACAATATTTTAATAATACATTTATGTATACACACATACATGTATGTGTAAATATACTAATATAGAAATTAATAAATTAACGTTAATACATCGATTAAGACACACATTAATGATCCCACGAATGGAGATGATAATTATAAATTTATTGCGATTCCATACATCGAAGGAATATCAGAACTAATTGCATCATCAATTAAAAAATCTAATATAAAAATAGGATACAGGTGTATAAGAAGGTTGAATGGCATTATAAAACTCAAAAAGATAAAAATGAATTATCAAATAACTCGAATGTAATTTATAAAATAAATTGTAATGATTGCAGAGCTACATATATAGGGCAAACAAAAAGGAAACTTTGCACCCGTCTTAAAGAACACAGAAATAATATTAAGTCGGACTCAACAAGACTATCGGTGATTTCGGAACATATCTTAAATTTATCACAAAGTAGTATATATATATATATACTACTTTCTTTTTTAAACTATTTATTTTTCTACAACATAGATATTAGAGCTTGTAATTAAATTGAAATTTTGTTAAAAATTTAAAAGTTATGTTCTTAAATGTAGTACTGGCAACTAAATAAAAATTTTACATGATTATATGTATGTATACAAAATGTGATAATAATGCGATATTAATAAATATTATTTAATGTTTAAATAATTTTGATTATATAATAATAACGTTGTCTATTAATAATGGTAAAAATAATACATTTTAGTATATAAACGTATACGTTATACATTTGATGATCAATGAAGGCTTATATGTTGGAATAAAAGAAAAGGTAATTTTAACAAATATTATTATGGAAAGCGAAAGAAAAAGAAATATTGTTCTATCTCTCTTATTAATTTCTGAATATTTTATATTTGTTTTGGTTATTATATAAACAGTATATTGATTTCATTTCGCAAATTTTTGTTTATATATTTTAGGATTTTATAATACAGAATTATGACAATATTGTAAACAAAACATACCAATTCGCACGAATCAAATCAGAAGACAAAGACAGTATTTTAAAAGTTTATTCTAATCTAATGTGTGGATGTAAAAAAATTGCAGTTTTGCATACGTGGACATACTTCATGTGAATAATTTTTCATATTGTATATACTATTTATTTTACTGCTTTAATTATTGTTTATTTAGATGTTTTACTATTCAATGCCTCCGTATTTACAAACTTTATGACTGCATGCATCAAGTTTTCTTTTGCAATCTTGTTTGAAGTACTTGAAAAATATATTATTACTTGTGTAGTCACATAAAAGTATATAGCCATATAATATTATAATAAATTATACTATTTGATATAATATAACGCACACATATTGAATTATTATTGAATTATTATAAACATTTATAGCCAACATATTTATATATATTTTATACCTTATTTAAAAATAAAATATGATTAATAAATAGTTATGAAACTTTAATATCTATTAAATATTATAAACATTTCGCACAAATTAAATCATATTTTTGCGTACATGTATAATACATATATGTATATTTGCAAGTACATATATGTACGTGAATAGATAGCGTCTATAAGTGAATTTTATGTATTTTTGTTTCATAGAAAGAAAAAATTTTAAAAATCTCTTGGAAAATAATAGTAAAATATAATTATTATTAAATACATTTATAATACAAACAAATAAATATATATTTAACGATTTGTAGGAAAGAATAAATAACATATTATATCATGTACTTAGAAGAATCAAATATGAAGAAATTGATGATATAGACGAACTTAGAATATGTTTACGACAAGAAGCTGCAAGATGGGCATGTCTTCTTGATGATATCACTTGTACGAAAGAAGCCAACAATAAATTAGAACAACATCTCCAAGATCTTGAAAAACACAAGTAACTATTGTTATATATTGTTAGCTTTTCTTAATCAAATTCTCCGTAGGTATCGCCTATAATGTTTAAATAATTTGATCAAGATATTTATATGCTAGTTTTTAATGAGAAAATTTAATTTTTTTTATGTTATAGGGTTTTGCCATAGTGGAAGGAATGGACATATTGTAAAGATTTGATGATAAATACCAACAAACCGACTTGGGAATCAGTGTATGCTATAGGTGTTGTAAAAAAAGACATTAAATTTTTAGAATACTTGGCTTGCACTAAAGATGCTGATATGATTAAAAACTATTTAAGATATAAATCTAATTTTAAAAAAGAAAATCAATATCTTCTTAACAGTTTCTTATATATTATTACGAAGCATGCGAATAATCAAATTATTCTGAAGGACATATTCAATATTTTTTTTTAACATAAAACCAAAGTAATGTGACATATTTTTAGAAGTATTATGTAAAAATATATTGTTTTATAAATACATTTTTTCTCGTTTTTAGACATGTTTACGTAACTGCAACAATAATTATTATTATTAATAACGTATATTCCGTTAATATAATTCAAGTAAAAATTTTACATATTTATATATGTATACAAAATGTAATAGTAATGCAATGTTAATAATTATTATTTAATTATAATGTTTAAATAATTTTTATAATGTTATAATAATGTTGTTTATTAGTAACGTTAAAAATAATACATTTTAAAAAATAAACGTTTACGTTAAATGGTTGAAGTTCTATGAAACCATATCAATTGATACAATATAAGAAAAGGTAAATTTTATAAATATTATTATGGAGATCGAAAGAAAAAGAAATATTGTTCTATCTTTTATTAAATTCTCTATTAATTTTATGTCTGTTTTGTTTATTATATAAACAGTATATTGATTTCATTATGCAAATCTTTGTTTATATCTATTAGATAATCATAATGATTCTGACAAAATTGGAAGCAAAATATCAATTCGCAAATATCAAAATGAAAGACAGAGACAGTATTATAATAGATTTTTCTTGCATTGGAATTAGAAAAATTGCAACTTTGCATGTGGGGATATACTTCATATGAATAATATTTTATATTGTATGTATTATTTATTTTACTGCTTTAATTATTTATTTAGATGTAATACTATTTGATGCTTCTGTATTTACTAAATATTCATGACTTCATGTATCAGAAATTTTTCATTTATATTTTTTTTTTTTTTTGCAAATTTGTATGAAGTAGTTGAACGATATATTATTACCTGTGTTGTCACAAGAAAGTAGCCATATAATATTACAATAAATTTTACTTTTATATATAATATAATAATATAAATGTATAAATATATAGATAATATGAATATATAAATATGCTTGTTGAATGATAAATGCACCTAAATGTATTATCTATATATTTTAAATTATATATTAATTTGTTTTTAATTTTTTTACATTAATTAATAAAATTATATGTTTACGTACACATATGCACAAATACACACACACACAGATATATATATATATATATATATAACGAATTATTATTTAAATATTATAAAAATTTACACACAACATATTTATGTTTATATGTATTATAAAATTTCGTTTTTTTGAATTAAAAAAAAAATTAATATATACATGTGTAAATATATGTGTGTGTGTGTGTGTTGTGTGTGTGTGTGTGTGTGTGTGTGTGTGTGTGTGTGTGTGTGTGTGTGTGTGTGTGCGTGTAAAATCATAATATTATATATTTTATAAAACGTACGTGATATATAGAGATCATATTATATATTAATATATATTTATTACAGTATAATAATTAATAAATGATTATATATATATAATAAATTGGTATAACTATAAGAATTAGTAATATGTTAACGTTATATGTAAACTATTATAATTATATGTGCCATATGTTCAATAATAAAATATTTGACACATTTAATGTTATAATTTAAAATTTGTGATTAATTACCATTTTTAGTTTATAATAAATCACATAACTCTTTCTCTCTCCCCGCCACCCTTCTGCTACCACAACAAGTCTCTCTCTCTCTCTCTCTCTCTCTCTCTCTCTCTCTCTCTCTCTCTCTCTCTCTCTCTCTCTCTCTCTCTCTCTCTCTCTCTCTCTCTCTCTCTCTCTCTCTCTCTCTCTCTCTCTCTCTCTCTCTCTCTCTCTCTCTCTCTCTCTCTCTCTCTCTCACATCTCTCTCGCTTCTAAAAAAAAATTAATATTTAATACTCAAAACATTTAATCTTACCTTATTTAATACTCAAAACAATTTAACTTGTTTAGTTAGCCTATTCTTATATCACTTTTGAATTTATGCAAGCCTAAATATTAGGTATTTATATATATTATTGTATTAAGATGAAATTAACGAAAGCGATGAATATATATTACAAAATATTACACCACTTTTGTCGTAAAAACGTTTTTCGAAATAAGTAATATAAATTTGTAAATAATGCACAATTATATGATTAATTGGCCGAAATTTGAATGTGCTTAATTAATACAAAAGTTACAAACGCAGCCGTACACGCGCTTCACACACACACACACACACACACATATACGCACGCACGCACGCGCACGCACGCACACACTCACATACACACACATATATATATATATATATATATATATATATATATCGACCTCAAAAGTTTTGTTGTCTTAATATATCATATTTATCGCACGATACGCGTACAGAGAAGCGTCAGTCAACCTTTCGTGGTCTTTCGAACCATATCGTGGTAGACATATCGTGGTAGATATAATAATTGTAATAAAGCGTGTGTGAATATTACATTCCTTCAACATTGCGCATATTGCTAAAGCATTTATTTGTTGCAGTTAATTTAGAAAAAAATATAATTTTACTTAAATATAATTTTTCCAATATAATTTTCCAATTAGGCTACTGCTCCGAAATATTGGGTAAGTCAAAATAAATTAAAAATATAAAAATATATTTGTCTACAAATGCAAAAAAAATTTAATCATACAGTTTTATCTAAAGATAATTTCAAATAATGACTATATTATAATATTTTATGAATTGTAATGTTGAAATAATCGATCATCCCAAAAAGTTTGATATCAAATAAATTATTTCTGAAATTTAAATATACTATAATTTATATAACAGATAATTAATATTTTAATACTCACTTTTATTTGTCCTATTATTACTAAATTATTAAAATTCTATTTTCTATTTGTCATACTTATTTTTTTATAAAAAAATATTGGTGCGTATTTAAATATTTAAAATGATTTATAAGTTGTGCTGACATTGAATAGAAAAAATAACTGTAACAAGAAAGAAGAATTAAATATTAACTTTGTTATTAAAAATAATGTAGGTATATAATTAAGAAAAATGAGAAAAGTAGGACAATTGCTGTGAATTTGTATTGGACCTATCACCCTATAAGGCCGATGTATTATCAAAACTGTAAACAAATTAATTTTATTAAGTGAAAAATAAATATAAATATAACATTTAAAAATAAGTAAAATTATATTAATCATATAAGTTAGAAATAAACAGAATACTAAATATTTTACGTACAATTTTTTTTACATAAAATATTTGATATAAAACGTTCAAAACGCATATTTGTATTAAATTTAAACGCACAGACAATAGTTCATATATAGATTTAATAAGATCCATTAAAGCTGAAACGTTTATAATACACAGTTTAAGAAAAGAAATCAAACAGACTTTCGAAGGAACATAATAATGTAAACACGTGCTCTATCTCTCACCCTTTTTCTCTTGCCGCTCCTCAGTTTTTCTTATCCTTACTGTGTTCTTCGTATTTTGAATGTATACACAGGTTCAGATAACTAATTTTATATACTATAAATGTTTATATTTTAAATAATATTTTTAAATTTTAAATGCACATAATTATTTGACAATGAGATTAATTATTTAAATAAAATATAAAATATGCTGTAAATTTAATATTTCCACACGGAAAAAAAGAATTAGCTATCATAGTTAAATTTTAGCTGTCCATATATTACAACCTGAAATTTAGTTATTGTGCCTAAATTTTAGCTACAGTAACTAATATTTTTTAGCCATAGCTTAACGGAGAATGTTATAGCTAAAAAATATTAGTTGTCATAGCTAAAATTTAAGCATGATAACTAAATTTCATGTGTAATATATGGACAGCTAAAATTTAGCTATGGTAGCTAATTTTTTTTCCGTGTACATTGCTGTCAATTACAATATGTGCAAAACTGAAATACATATGTATGTATGCATACATATATATATATATATATATATATATATATATATATATATAGCGAAATCAAAGATGTCGAAATGAAGAATCTTTGATTTCGCTGTGCGATTTCTCTTCCAAAAACATGAATCGAATCACCGACCGATATTGCTCTTTTTCCATTTTTCTAAAATCCGCGGACACGCCCGCTTTTCCACACGCGGTCAAAACAAAACTACGAGTCCGATTCGGCTGAAATTTTGACAGTAGCCGTCTACGAGAATGTATGAGTACTACACGATAGTAAAACTCTCTTGCGATACTGGCACCATCGGGCGATAAGGCTAAGTACTTATCGGACTGCCTCTATTAACAGAAAACTTGCGCGTAAAAAAAGCTTATCTTCGCAAAAAATTATCGTATTTGAAAAAGTTTTATTTTGTTTTAGAGGGTAACGTCTCTATAGTTTAAGAAACTTTCGTTCGATTTTGATTTCATTCTCTCCCATCTCTCCACCCCATTAAAAAGTAAAGTGTGTTTTTTTTTCAAAAAATTACAAAATTTGACGGAATTTACGGGATGAAATAAATTTTTCTCGCAAATCATACAAATTTTCGTAAAATATGGACTTTTTCCTACAAATTAAAAAAAAGCAAACTTTTTTTCGCACAGTTATTACATATAAAAGTTACCCATACATTATTTTCATTTACCATCAGCATTAATGATACTCGACGCGCACGATGATTGCACGACAAATTGCTAATGAAGATCTCCCTTACAGAATCAGTGATCAAACAATTAGAAGACATTTATGTGAACGTGGTTTAAGATCGCAAGTTCGACATTTGTATGGAAAAATGTATGATCCATACATTTCTTCACACATTAGGAGATGAAAAAGATTGTACGAAAACAATGTACAAACTTTTATTTTTTAATTTGTAGAAGAAAGTTCATATTTTGCGAAAATTTGGAATAAAATTTGCGAAAAAAATATGTTTTATCCCGTATAGTTCGTCAAATTTTGCAATATTGTGAAAAATAAACACTTTACTTTTAAAAAAATGGAATAAGATTGAGAGAATAAAATCAAAATCGAACAAAAATTTTTAAAAGTAGAAACTGCACCTTTTAAAACAATAAATAATTTCTTCAAATACGATACTTTCTCGCTTGAGATACGCTTATTTAAATTTACGCGAAATTTTTCTGTTAATCGCGCGTTGCGATAATTTTTATGACCAGTATATATAATTTTTTTAAATATAATTTTAAATATATATATATATATATATATATGTATTTCAGTGCTTCCTCACCATATAATATTTCGATAATTAGGATGGTTCCCAAATTAATGATTTTAATACTCTTTGTATTTATTTCTTTTTTATATAAAAAATCATTTAAAAGACATCTAAGCTATATTTAATTTCTTTATTTATCTTTTGTCCAGAGTGTTTTACAGATCTAAAAGAAATATTCCTTTTCTCGAACATAATGATATTTCTAAAACTATTATTAAGCGGATTAATATTTATCGCTGCGACAGCTTCCACTTCTAATGAATATTTATGCTATCAAAAATCAAAATATGTAATACCAATGCATTACGATATCATGCTTTTAACACTTATTGAAGGAAATACTTTCTATGGGGAATACAATATCAGCATAAACATTCTTAACAAAACGAAACACATATATTTACATTCAGAACAATTATGTATTAAAAATATAGTTCTAATTACAAATTTTGAAAGGAATAATGAGAATGATAAAGATACAGTTTATAAACTGACATATACTACTGAAAAAGACACAATTGATATTTCCTTATTGGATGAGTTATTACCAAGAAAATACACCTTAAATATAAAATATTATGGTACTGCTTATGAAGTCTTTCAAATTTTTGACGTGAAAGAAAAAACTACGTGAGTAAATAATAAATGTTTTTTAATAAAAAATGTTTATTAATAAAAAAGAGTACAATATACAATTACATAAGACATTGGATTTAATATATTATTTACGTATTAAATGTTTAAAAGTTATTATGTATCGCAGAATTTAAATATAAAGGCGAACAATCGTTATATTTATTATTATCATGTAATAGGGTCATATATATATATATATATATATATATATATATATGTGACGCATATAACATTTATACATTTTCTAAATCCCAATATTTTTATACTTGTCAAAAACGTTTCATTAATTCATGTTTTTTAAATGTAGTTGGGTAGGTGCTCCGCATTTCCAGATAATAGGCGACCGACCATTTTTTCAAAAATTGTCATGTTTGCATCTACATGATGTACGGTTAAGGGCAACCTTTAACATTTCTATAAGATGTGATAGTTGCGCGGCATTGTCAAATATGCCATTGCAAAATACGAAATTAGATATGCACAATATGTTATGGATACATAACGAAACCACACCTGTCATGTGGACTGATCATGCAACAATAATTGTGTCTAATTGCCTATTCCATATTGATAACGAAATCATTAAAATGTGGACCAGAATTGATGCTGTATTGGACATGGAATTTTCAAATAATGTAGCTACAAATATCACGTTATTCTTTAACAATAAATGAAACATTCAAACAATATTTCGATGGTGTCTCATGTTGCAATTCCAAATTTCCATGACAAAGGCACAATAGTTTTTGGACTTGTTTTCTATAGGTGAGTATAAATACTTAACTACATTAAAAATAAAATTATATTAGTATGTATAATTATAAAATTTAAAATTAGGTATATATTTCGTTTCTGTAAACGTTCCAAATTATAAGAACTTACGAAAACAAATAATTTTAGTAGAATTGAGTTTATTCATAATATTAAAAAGTTAAAGTTTACCCTTTTAATACATACGTAAAGGAGAAAGTATGTATGCTAAATCATACGCTGTAAGGAAATGTTAAAACTGTTATAAAGTTTAAAAGAAATGACACTTTTTTATTTATTTCAAAATATTGTTTTTTGTCAACAATATACACATTAACAAAAATTTATCGCTGTTTCATATTGTATATTAAAAAACAAAAAATTTTAATTTGGTACAATTTAAAATACTGATTTGCTAAAAATTGTACGCATGATTTTCTAAATCAAGCATCTAACAATAAAATTTTAATATTGTAACAAAAATATACTTTTATTTTCTATAAAGTTCCCAGCCTTAACATTAAATATAACTTTCAGGGAAACAGATATCATCTACGATATAAATTTATATTTTATTGCTCACAAAATCGAAGTAGCTCAATTAGTAGGACGTAAAGTGACACAACAATGGTTTAATAACATGATGAACAATCCGTCAGTGTCTGATTTTTGGTTTAAAAAAGGTCTTACTACATTGCTTGCAACGTATGCTGTTAATAAGGTTATTCTAAATATTTTCAACGCTATCTCGCTCCCAACATACTTCTCGCAAACGATACAAAACTTATGCATTCATATTGCAATAATTTTTAAAATCAAACACCACTTTATTAGATATTTTTAAATTTTTATAAAATCAAAAAATAAAATAAATTAATCAAAAACTAGTACACATAATATTTATTAAAATAAATTTGATAAAGAGATGTCTGCAATATAATACTTTTTATTAAAAAAATATGTAATATTTCCTAATTATATTCTAACAAAATTTTAGATTTTATTAATAAAATTTTTTAATATGTGTTTTCTAAAAAGAAAGTGGTCATTTTAACAATGAAGTAACGTTAATAATATATTAATATTAGTATTTAATGCAAGTATTTTAAGAACGGTTATATTGATATATTAATAATTTTTTATAGGTGTATCCAGTTTATCGAATAATAAATTTATTTGTTGTTCAAAATCAACATTACTCTTTTAATTTAGATGGTGATTATCATATGTGGCCTTCTACTTCACAAGAGAACAGTTTATTGAAAATTCGCCAATCAATCAGAGGTATACGTAATATGATAAAATAGTCCATTTAAATTTTTCACAATTAATATTTTAAAATATGTGTTAAGTTAGAAGATAATTCTATATCTGGATTTTATTAAATATTTTTTTTATAAAAGTACACACACACACAAGCACGCACGCACACACGCGCGCGCGCACACACACACACACACACACACACACAGCACGCACGCACACGCGCGCGCACACACACACACACACACACATGCACAACAAACACATATGTACGTTTGTGCGTATTTATGCATATTCTTTCATTAATATTTAAAGTATTTATACATATAATCAATAGACATATATGTGTGTGTATGTTATTTGCAACTAGCAACTACACTGTTTTCCTTAAAAACTATAATGGTTTTATTTTTAAAAACGTTGATTTTTCTCATTGTTTTATATTCAAAATTATTCAGCAAGAAACGTACTTATAAAACAAAATGATATACGGTGTGCCACACACACACAATAAAAAACATTTTATTCTTACGCGATTATTACCTAGTCAATATACATATATATGTCACTTTTCTTTAAAAAATTACTATATTTACAAGTAACTGTTATAGCAAATATATATTTATAACATATCTTAATTATAATTTTCATGTAAATTGTAGCGCCTTTTATACTGCGCATGATGGATCACGCCTTCACTAAAAAAATATTTTGGAAAGGAATTCGCTCATAAATAAATAGCACGTGAGTAATTCAATATAAAATATAATATCAAAAAAATAAAATTGTGTAACATAAATAATATTTAATAATAATAGAAGTTTCATAAAATGTCCCTTATTTTTTGGCTTCTTCTGACATTATTTCCTAATTTTTTTTTTAGTCGAACAATTTCGCTATTTTATCAGACCTGCTACTATTTTTAATATCTTTTAGTTTTATTTTTAATTTCATTATTGTGCCTATGAAAACTGTTTCTGTAGAAAGAAAAAAGAATTATTGTTTTATCATTGTCACTTTTTCATCATATCCATATACATTGTTGTTTTATTTGCTAATTATTGAGATATAAGGAGTCACTTCAGATTTCGATGACCTTGACATATGTAGTCAAAATTACTGTCCTGAGTAAATATTAAAAGGTTTTAAGCGTCGCTGTTTATAAAAAGTTATTAACAAAAAAAGTTGAAACATATAGCAGTTATTTTGACCATTAAAAGGCAAAAAAATATTTATATAAATATCAAAAACGTTGTTTAAAATTCATTCTTCGAGCATAGGTTGGTTAGAATTAATTTTTGAAGAAGGCGGGAGTGCAAAAGGTTGGCCGAAGCCCGGCGGAGTCCCTTGCTTCTTCTTGACCCACGCGTTTACTTTATTACACGTCCAAATATACAATACATTTAATATGTATGTGCATTATATGTTTGGACGCGTAATAAAATAAACGCGTTGATCAAGAAAGAGCCAAGGGCTGCGTCCTTTCCTCTGCACCACCTTTCTCTCAAAACTTATCTGATCAACTTATGTATAAAATTCGTTCTTTGAACATGGGTTGGTTAGTTTATGGTAGCGAGTTGGGTGCAGAGGGAAAGGCTCCTGTCTTCGTCTTGACCCACGCGTTTACTATATTACGCTTTTGAACATATAATAATACATGTATGTCACAAATATTAGTTTTATTTAGTGAACCTTTTTGTTAATAACTTTTTTATAAACAATAAGTGACATTAAAACCTTTTGATACTTACTCAGAACAGTGATCTTGACAACATATGTCAATATCATCACTCTCGAATGTGGCTCCCCATATATCTCAATAATTATCTTTGATTTTTGTTTCATGAATTGTGATTTTTTAAAATAATTTATAAATTATTAGTAAACTTTTTATTTTTCCTTTTATTTCTTTATATCGTCTATAATTGTTATAATTTCTTTTCTTTTAATTGCGTTTTGTGCTACATTTGTTTTTTAATCTTATTTCATATGTTTTTAAATATCTAATTTATTTAATTAAATCTTATTTATTTAAATCTTTCTCATTACTTTGCTCAAATATGGTCTATATATTAATGAAATAATGGCTAAAAAATTTAATAAAATTACTAAATTTTATTAAAAATTATATTATATTCTTTATTATTTTAATATAAATATAAGATATAAATATATATATATATATATAGAAATGGAATTTTATATTTTACTTCTTAGTATTGATTAAAATTTTTTATAATATTGACATTATACAGATAATTTTAACATATTTGTAATGTTTTTTATATATTTTACATATTGTATGAATATAGTCAAATATATAGTCAAAATATTGTAAAATTTTGGGATGAAATTATTGCTGCTACTGAAATACCATATTTTTCTCAACAAATAATAAATTATTGGTATAAAGAAACATATTGTCCTATCATAAAAGTAACACAAAATTATAAAGATATAAGCAAAACAATAGTATCGATACAAAATATCGACAAATTAAAAATTGAATTCCTGTTTGTAACTTTTACTACAGAAGCGTCTCCTGATTTTAACATATTCACTCATCATATGGTATGCTTGTCAAAAAATTTGAAATTATCATTACCATTTAATAAAAATGGATGGATGATATTCAATGTACAACAAATTGGTAAATATCGGCCAAGGGACTTATTTCTCGTGTTTATTTTACACACACATAATTACAATTTTCTTATTATCTTCTTTCTCTTTTCTTTAATCTTAACTTCGGTTTCCTTTTTCCTGTCTTTCCTTTAACAAAAAACAAAACCTACTTTCTACTCTGTTTCGCTCTCCCCTTCCTAATCGCCCCGTCCCTCTTTCTACTCCACCTTATCCCCCTTCCTTCTATCTTTAACTCTCTTCATCTCCTCGATCTTTCCCTTTTTTATTCTCTTTTCCCACTTTTCCCAAATCTCTCTTTCTTTGCTCTTTTCTCTAACCACCATCCAACCAACCTCACCACCATCGTCAAGCCCACATTTATCCCAATCCTACATCTCCTCATCATCCACCCTTTCTCCAAAAATTTTTTTTGTCCCCCCCTTCTCCTTTTCCTCCACCTCATCCTTCCTCTTCTTTTCCTCCTCCTTTTCCTCAACTTTCTTCCTCCTGTCTCTCTCTTCTTTCTTCTCCTCCACTCTCTTCTTCATCATCTGTATCTCTTCTTCTGCCACTACTTTCTCTTCCGTTCTTATCCTAGCACTCTTCCCTTTTACTCTCTTTACCATCAACCGCATCTCTCTTCTCACCATTACATTTTCTCTCGTGTTTCTCGTAACACTTATTTCTCCTTCTTTATTCTCCTTTCTTCATCATTCTGACCATCAACTCTATACTTCTCCTTTCCTCATTTCTACCCTTACATTCATCTTTTTCGATCACATTCATACCTCCTCTCTTCTTTTATCCATCTCATAATACGTCCACCTTCCTTTACCATTTTCTAATGAATATTTATGCTATAAAAAATCACTTCTCTTTACTATTTTCACTCTTCTTCCCTCTCTCCACTATAGTCTTCTTACACCGTCCTCGTCTTCTCCGCACCTTTTAACCCTTTTCTCTCCTCTCTTCCTTCTGACCATTCCTCCTCACTATCACCACATATTACTTTACTCTCTTCACCTTCCTTTTCTTCTTTGTTTTTTATCTTTTCTCCAATCACATTTCCCTCTTTTCCACCTTTTTATCTTCCTAACGCATTTCCTCACCTTTCTTCCTTTCTATTTTCTTCCTCTCCCTCCTTCATACTACAACTCTCCACCACGTCCACCAGTCTGTTCCACAAAGTTCAATTCTCTCAGCTTCTACTCACATACATAAGTTATGACTTTTTTCTTTTTCTCTACCATCTCAATCCTATCTTCCATCATCTCCTCAGAACTGCCAAACTACGTAATCTGTATTATATATATTATTAATATTATATCTCTATAATATATCATTGTATATATCATATTATATATATTATATCTAAGATATACATAGTATATACGTCAAAGATATACACGTTTTCTAGATAACGTCATTATTTTATGAATGTTATATTTTTCAAAATATTTTATTCTAATAATAGTAAAAATTATTAAAAAGATAATCATATTTATAAAATAAATAATTATAATAAGTACATATAACATGCAATTTCTGTAACATTACATGTCACAGGAACTATATTAGTTAGCATTAAATAATAATTATTTATGCACAACTAGATTCAATTTTATTTTATGATATATAACAATATCTTGCACAGTTTCATTTTTGCTACTATTTCAGCTATTTAAATGACATTTATATAATTAATTTTCTATATGCATTTGCATTTTATTTATAGGTATTAAATTTTTGATACATTTTCAATTTATAATATATATAAAGAAAGTATGAAACAAAAATTGAAATAAGTTCAAAAATAACTATATTAATGATAAAATTATTCAGAACAATAAGAATTGATAAAATTTATGTACTATTCGACAGGATATTATCGCGTTAACTATGATAAAGAGAATTGGCAAAGAATTACAAATTATCTACACTCTCGTAATTACAAGAAAATTCATGTTCTTAATCGTGCTCAAATTATCGATGATGCATTCAATTTAATGATAGCAGGCCATCTCCATTCCTATATATTCTGAAACATTATATCGTATTTGCATCAAGAAGAAGATTATATAGCATGGTATCCTTTGTTTAAAGCTTTGGAATATATATGTAGTACTTTTCCAGTGTTGAAAGAAAAAATTGGATATTTTACGGTAAATATTAATAAAGAGTGATGGCGAAAAGACCTGTTTTTTCGCCCATTTTATAGAGTCGAATTTTGAGACCTCAAATTTCAAACTTTTTTTATGTCAAATAGTACTATATGATGAGACATTAATCCCAAAGAAATTTCAAGATAAGCATAGACACGGTTCCGGAGATACAAGCAGGTGCAAGTGATGATTTTTAGTCAAAGATGACAAACTATCACATTCGCTTCTTCATATCTTCGGAACCGTGTCTATGCTCATCTTGAAATTTTATTGCGGGATTAGGTAATGTACTAATAGTACTATTTATGATGAAAAAATGTTCGAAATGTAAGGTCTCAAAAATGGGCGAATTTGCCATCACTCTTTCAATAAAAATATTTAAATATTTGCATATACACTCATTGATCACAAATAATTTACAAATTTAGAAAAATATATCCAGCAACGATAACATTTTACATACTATTACGTCGCAAACAAATGTGCAAACAAATTTTGTTTAAATAATCATTCACCTAAAGAACTGTCCGAAAAGTCTATGATTTGCACTACTGCCAATATTATTGCTATATAACATTGTTATTGAATATATGTATAGCAAAGAGCTTAAAATCTTATATATTAATTATAAAATATTATATAATCAAAAAATTTAATTATATATTTCTCAAAAATATATGTTTTATACCTTATTTAAAAATAAAATATGATTCATAAATAGTTATAAAACTTTAATATCTATTAAATATTGTAAACATTTCGCACAAATTAAATCATATTTTTGCGTACATGTATAATACATATATGTATATTTGCAAGTACATATATGTACGTGAATAGATAGCGTCTATAAGTGAATTTTTATGTATTTTTGTTTCATAGAAAGAAAAAATTTTAAAAATCTCTTGGAAAATAATAGTAAAATATAATTATTATTAAATACATTTATAATACAAACAAATAAATATATATTTAACGATTTGTAGGAAAGAATAAATAACATATTATATCATGTACTTAGAAGAATCAAATATGAAGAAATTGATGATATAGACGAACTTAGAATATGTTTACGACAAGAAGCTGCAAGATGGGCATGTCTTCTTGATGATATCACTTGTACGAAAGAAGCCAACAATAAATTAGAACAACATCTCCAAGATCTTGAAAAACACAAGTAACTATTGTTATATATTGTTAGCTTTTTTTAATCAAATTCTCCTGTAGGCATCGCCTACAATGTTTAAATAATTTGATTAAGATATCCATATGTTAGTTTTTATTAAGAAAATTTAATTTTTTTATGTTATAGACTTTTGCCATGGTGGAAGGAATGGACATATTGTAAAGGTTTGATGATAAATACCAACAAACCGACTTGGGAATCAGTGTATGCTATAGGTGTTGCAAAAAAAGACACTAAATTTTTAGAATACTTGGCTTGCACTAAAGATGCTGATATAATTAAAAACTATTTAAGATATAAATCTATTTTTAAAAAAGAAAATCAATATCTTCTTAACAGTTTCTTATATATTATTACGAAGCATGCGAATAATCAAATTATTCTGAAGGACATATTAGATAATTTTTTTGTTAACATAAGGCTAAAGTAATGTGACATATTTTTAGAAGTATTTTGTAAAAATATATTGTGTTTTATATATACATTTGTTTTTTCGTTTTCAGACATGTTCATTTAACTGCAGTATTAATTATTATTATTAATAATGTATATTCCGTAAATCTTCTAACTGAGGTAAAAGTTTTACATGTTTATATATGTATACAAAATGTAATAATAATGCAATGTTAATAATTATTATTTAATGTTTAAATAATTTTGATAATGTTATATTAATGTTGTTTATTAATAATGTTAAAAAATAATACATTTTAGGAAATAAACGAACACGTTAAATGGTTGAAAGCCTATGCAAAGATATTATTTGATGAAATAAAAGAAATGGTAAATTTAATAAATATTATTATGAAAATCGAAAGAAAAATAAATATTGTTCTATCTTGCTTATTAACTTCTGCGTATTAATTTTATATTAGTTTTGTTTATTATATAAACAGTATATTGATTTTATTGTGCAAATTTTTGTTTATACCTATTAGGATTCCATAATGCTAAATTCTGACAAAGCTGAAAACAAGATATCAATTCGCAAATATCAAATCGAAAGACAGAAAGAGTATTATAGTCGGTTTTTCTTGTAGTGAAATTTAAAAAATTGCAGCTTTCTATACGTGGATATACTTCATATGAATATTTTTATATTGTATGTATTATTTATTTTACTGCTTTAATTATTATTGTTTTTTTAGATGTATTACTATTCGACGCCTCTGTATTTACTAAATTTCATGACTTAATGTACCAAAAGCTTTTCATTTTTTTTTGTGAACTTGTATGAAGTAGTTCAACAATATATTATTACCTATGTTGTCACAAGAAAATAGCCATATAATATTACAATAAATTTTACTCTTAGATATAATATGATTATATAAATGTATAAATATATAAATAATATGAATATATAAATATGCTTGTTGAATGATAAATGCACTTAAATGTATTATCTATATATTTTAAATTATATATTGATTTGTTTTCAATTTTTTTACATTAATTAATAAAATTATATGTTTACGTACACATATACACAAGTATATATATATATATATATATATATATATATATATATATATAACAATTTGTTATTTAAATATTATAAAAATTTACACACAACATATTTGTGTTTATATGAATTATAAAAATTCGTCTTTTTATATTAAAAAAAAATTTATATATACATGTATATATGTATATATATATATGTGTGTGTGTGTGTGTGTATGTATAAAATCATAATATTATATATTATATCATACGTAGGTTATATATAAAGATCATATTATATATTAATATATTAATACATTATAATTAATACAGTATAATAATTAATGAATAACAATACATATTTTTTGAATAATACACATTTTTTAGTAATTAATAAATGATTATATATATATATATATATATATATATATATATATATATAATAAGCTTGTATAACTAGAAGAATTAGTAATACGTTAACGTTATATGTACACTATTATAATTATATGTGCCATATGTTGAATAATTAAATATTTGACATTTAATATTATAATCTAAAATTTGTGATTGATTAGCATTTTTTCTTTACAAGAAATCACGTCTTTCTCTCCCCCCTCTCCCCCTTTTCACTCACTTTTATGTAAATCCACATTCTAATTTCAAAGTTACTTATATAAAATATTAATCTTAATATTAATATTTATATAAATTTATATTTCATAACTTTAAAATCGTGCAACATAATTCGGCGCTCCATGCTAATGTTTCTAATGGACTTAAAAATATTGTAAGTTGTGTCAATATGAATTGTAACTCACAATTATATTTAAAAGATATATAAGCATAGAAAGAAGATAAAAAGTATAAATTTAAAATTTTTTGTTCTCAAATTGATGTTTGCGACAATAATTGCGCGTTTAACATGTGTATTTTCCAATCAACGCGATGAATTTATATATTAAGAAATTATCTCATTATTCTATTTGCCTCTCTATTATTTATTATTTCTTACTATTATTTTAATGATAAATGTCGAATCTATTTTAGTAAAATAAAATTTGTACATCAATGTTGCAACATGCACAAAAAATTCGAAAAAATAGAAATCCATTATACTAAAACCGCAAAACAATATAAATATATCTTAAAAGCTTTCTATAGCTCATCAATTAGATTATAAAATGGGAGCTACTATGTAATACATGCGCGTTAAATTAAACTATATATATGTATATTAATAATGCATAATATTATTTTTATAAATATTAGATACATTTTACTTTTATAATATCTTTACCTTTATATTTTTAACTTATTTATACTATCTCTTATTAATTTTTAATATTTTTATTAACTATATATTAATATTAAAATTATTGCGTGTGAGCATGCGTGCGTGCGTGCGTGCGTGTGAACGTGTGTGCGTATATATTATTAAGATAAAGATATTATTAGGATAAATATATTATTAGGATAAAATTGTCGAAAACGATGAATATATTACAAGATATTACATCATATATGTTGTAGAAATGTTTATCGAAATAAGTAAGATATAAATTTGTAAATAATGCATATTTATATGATTAATTGGCCGAAATTTGAAAGTGCTTAATTAATACAACTGTTACATACAAATGCCGTCGCACACGCATACGCACAAACAGAAACTCACGCGCGCACACACACACACACACACACACACACACACACACACACACACACACACACACACACACACACACACACATATATATATATATATATATATATTTATATTGACTTCAGAAGATTTGTTGTCCTAACGTATCACATTTATCGCACGATGACATGTATAGAAAATCAGTCAGCCTTTCGTGGTCTTTCGAACCATATCACGGTAGACAATAATTGTAATAAGGCGTGTGTGAATATTACATCCCTTCAACATTGCGCACAGTGCTAAAACATTAACTTGCTGCAGTTAATTTAAAAAATATAATTTTTATTAATATAATTTTCCAATTAACATTCTGCTCCGTAATATTGGGTAAGTCAAAAACTTAATTAAAATTTGTCGTACTTATTATTTTATAAAGAAATATCTGTGCGCATTTTAACATTTAAAATTATTTTTAAATTGTGCTGACATTGAGTAGAAAATAACTGTAACAAAAAAGAAGAATCAAATATTAACTTTGTTGTCAAAAATAATGTATACAATTAAGAAAAATAAAAAAACAAATTAATTTTATTAAATAAGAAATAAATATAAATATAACATCTAAAAATAAGTAGAATTATATAAATTATTTGTAAGTTAGAAATAAACAGAATATAAAATATTTTACGTATAATGTTTTAAATAAAATATTTGATATAAAACATTCAATACGCATATTAATATTAAATTAAGAACGCACAAACAATAGTTCATATAGATTTAATAAGATACTCTATTAAAGCTGAAACGTTTTCAGATATGTAAATTAAATTTAACGATTAAAATTTGAATTTTACTTTTACAATCAAAAATAATATTGTTACATGTATATTTATGGTGAGAAGATATATAGAAATATTATTTCAATTACAAAGATTTGATAAAATAAACACATTGATAAAGAGAATATAGCTTTAATACTTAATCTCAAAATAAATTATAATAAGTTATAAATAAATTATAAGAAGTTGAATCGGGTTAATAAAAATTTGAATAATTATTTATTAATTAAAAATTATATAGTAAAATGAAAGAACATACTAATTGTCAATCGAATGTAGAAGTCCATAATGTTCTAGATTTGAAGCAATCGTTAACACATTTATTTTGAGGTGTTCAATCTAAAATATTTGAAAAACCCCCATTATATGCAGAATGTCCTAGAAATAGTAGTAAACCTGTTAATAGTAAATTTTTGAGATTATTTGGAGCCAATTTTTCCTCCGCGAAAATGTCGAGGGAGACTATCATTATTTGCATGTTCCCAAATTTGCCATCATGTATCTTTGTAATTAAATCTTAAATTAAAATTCTAATAAGAGTAAACTCTATTTGAAATTAACATTAATAAAAGTGATTTGGTTAATATTTTATTTCCAAAAGACTTGATTAGCGAAAATCTATTTATATTCAATCGCTTATATGTATAATAACTCGAAATTTATTAGTTCGACATATTTGCTGAGGAAGAATCGTCTGCAAATGATCTCAGATATCTGCTTTTAACTGGTTTACTGCTAGTTCTGGAATATTTTGTATATATGTGTATAAAATTTATTATCAAGTTATTTATAATACAGATACAATTAAAAATTGAATTTATGTTGACTTAATATTCGGTGAATATTTATTTAGTGTTTATAATACGCAGTTTAAGAGAAGAAATCAAACAGATTTTCAAAGAAACATAATCTAAACATACGCACTATCTCTCTTTTTCTTTCTCTCTCCCTCTTTCTCTGCTCCTCAGTTTTTCTTATATATATATATATATATATATATATATATATATATGTATATGTATTTCAGTGCTTCCTCATCATACAATATTTCCATAATTAGAATAGTTTTTTAATTAATAATTTTAATTCTTTTTATATTCATTTCTTGTTTATATACTAGAATCATTCAAAATGACATCTAAGCTATATTTAATTTCTTTATTTATCTTTTGTACAGAGTGTTTTACAGATCTAAAAGAAATATTCCTTTTCTCCAACATAATGATATTTCTAAAACTATTATTAAGCGGATTAATATTTATCGCTGCGACGGCTTCCACTCCTAATGAATATTTATGCTATCAAAAATCAAAATATGTAATACCAATGCATTATGATATCAAGCTTACACCATATATTGAAAAAAATATTTTTGATGGGGAATACAATATCAGCATAAACATTCTTAACAAAACGCAACAGATATACTTACATTCAGAACATTTATTATGTATTAAAAATATAGTTCTAATTACAAATTTTGCAAGATATCATGGGAATAATAAAGATATCGTTTATAAACCGACATATAACTATAAAGAAGACACAATTTATATTTTCTTTATAGATGAGTTATTACCAGGAAATTACACTTTAAATATAAAATATCATGGTATTGCTGATAAAGGCTTTAGAATTTTCGATGTGAAAAAAAAATCTACGTAAGTATATAATAAATGTTTATTAATAAATAAAAGTACAATATGCAATTACATAAGACATTGGAATTAATATATTATTTACGTATTAAATGTTCAAAAATTATTATATATCGCGGAATTTAAATATAAAGGCGAACAATCTTTATATTTATTATTATAATGTAATAAGGTCATAAATATAATATGTGTTGACGCATATAACATTTATACATTTTCTAAATCCCAATATTTTTATACTTGTCAAAAACGTTTCATTAATTCATGTTTTTTGAAATGTAGTTGGGTAGGTGCTCCGCATTTCCAGATAATAGGCGACCGACCATTTTTTCAAAAATTGTCATGTTTGCATCTACATGATGTACGGTTAAGAGCAACCTTTAACATTTCTATAAGATGTGATTTATGCACGGCATTGTCAAATATGCCATTGCAAAATACGAAATTAGATGAGCACAATATGTTATGGATACATAACGATACCACACCTGTCATGTGGACTGATCATGCAACAATAATTGTGTCTAATTGCCTATTCCATATTAATAACAAAATCATTAAAATGTGGACCAGAATTGATGCTGTATTTGACATGGAATTTTCAATTAATGTAGCTGCAAATATTACGTTATTCTTTAACAATAAATGGAAACATTCGAACAATATTTCGATGGTGTCTCATGTTGCAATTCCAAATTTCCATGACAAAGGCACAATAGTTTTCGGACTTGTTCCTTATAGGTGAGTATAAATGCTTAATTACATTAAAAATAAAATTATATTAGTATGTATAATTATATAATTTAAAAATAGGTATTTTGTTTCTGTAAACGTTCAAAATTATAAGAACTTACGAAAACAAACAATTTTAGTAAAATTATGTTTATTTATATTATTAAAAAGTTAAAGTTTACCATTTTTCAATACGCACATAAAGAGGAAAATATGTATGCTAAATCGTACCCTGTAAAATAGATTTAAAACTGCAATAAAGTTATAAAAGAAATGCCACTTTTTATTTATTTCAAACTATTAAAAAATTTTTTAAATCAAAAAATTAAAAAAAGTTATGTGTTACAATTTACAATACCGATTTGCTAAATTGTACCCATGAGTTTGTAAATCAAGCATCCAACAAAAAAGTTGTAGTATTGTATCAAAAATAAAGTTTTATTTTCTAAAAATTGTCAGTCTTAACAATTGAATATAACTTTCAGGGAAACAGATATTATTTATGATAAAAATTTATATCCTGTTGCTCACAAAATCGAAGTAGCTCAATTAGTAGGACGTAAAGTGACACAACAATGGTTTGAGAACATGATGAACAATCCGTTAGTGTCGGATTTTTGGTTTAAAAATGGTCTTATTACATTGCTTGCAACATATGTTGTCCAAAAGGTTATTCTAAATTTTTTCAACGCTATCTCGCTCCCACCTTCTCGTAAACGATACAATACTTATGCATTCACACACACACACATATTGCATAATTTTTTAAATCAAACCCTTTTTACAAAATCCATACACATTCTTTGTGAATTGTTTTACAACATTTAGCGTTATATAAAATAATCAACATTTTTTTTTAAAAATACATTTTTCACATATTTACATACATATAATTATAATTTAATTCATTAAAAATTTTTATTTTTAATACCGCTTTATTAATTACATATTTTTAAATTTTTATGAAATTTAAAATAAAATAAATTAATCAAAAACTAGTACAAATGATATTCATTAAAATATATTTGATAAAGAAATGTCTGCAATATATTACCATGAGATAATAATTTTAAAAATATTTAATATTTGCTGCTAATTGTATTAAATCAAAATTATAAATTTTATTATTATATATTTATTTGAATGTAAGTTTTTCAAAATGAAAAAGTGTTTTGTGTTAACAATAAAGTAACGTTAATAATATTAGTATCTGTTTTTAATGCATGTATTTTCAAAAAGGTTATATCGATATATTAATTTTTTTCCTATAGACTTATCCAAATTATAAAATAATACATTTATTTGTTGTTCAAAATCAACATTACTCTTTTAATTTGGATGGTGATTATCATATGTGGCCTTTAACTTCACAAAATGACAGTTTATTGGAAATTCGCCAATCTATCAGAGGTAATATAATAAGTTGAAAAGATAAAATAGCACACACACACACACAAAGTGCTCAGTAATACCGCACATATGTTAGAAGTAATTAATTGAATAGTTTTTAAAAGTTTTCCTATCTTTGTAAGTATTAACGGAAAATTTACTTATAATATACAATTATAAAAGGTACGAAAATATACAATATTTTACCCTTACGTGATTACTACACTGTATACATATACAATATAATTTTCCTTTAAAAAATCAGTATGTTTACAAGTAATCATTGTAATAAATGTATATTTATAATATATCTAATTTATAATTTTGATGTAAATCGTAGCACCCTTTATACTGCGCATGATGCAAATCGTCTTCACCAAAAAAATATTTTGGAATGGCATTCGCTCATATGTAAATAGCACGTGAGTAATTCAATATAAAATATAATTTCAAAAAATGAAATTGTGTAATATAAATAATGTTTTATAATAAAAATTTTTTAAATGTCCTTTACTTTTAGCTTCTTCTTACATTATTTTTAATGTTTTTTGTAATCTGTTTTTGTTTTGTTTTATTTATGTATTTGTTTTATTTCTTCTTTTAATCATTTTATAACTCTCACAATACTTTGCTCAAATATAATCTATATTAATGCTAATAATGTCTAAAAATTTAATAAAATTATTAAATTTCATTAAAATTGTTATAATTTTTATTATCATAATATAAATATAAGATATATAAATGTATAAATATAAGTGCAGTTTTGTATTTTGCTTCGTATTTATTAACATTTTTCATAACATTAACATTATGCATACAATTTTAACATATTTATAATGTTTTTTTATATATTTTACATACTTTGTGAATTTAGCCAATTATATCATCGAAGTTTTGAGAATTTTATGAAAGCAGTTGTTCCTGAATCAAGAAAATCAGAAATGGTTCTACGAACAATGGAATATTGGGCTTCGGAAGAGCATTGTCCTCTCGTAAAAATAATACGATATTATGATAATCCTACGGCTAAAATAGTTATTTCAGTGCCAAATTTCGATATATTAAAAACTTATTGCTTACCTATAACTTTTACTACGCAGACGTACCGTAATTTTAACAATTTCTCTTATATTTCGCTAATTACGAGAAATTTTGTATTAACATTACCATTTAAGGAGGATGGTTGGATAATATTCAATATACAACAAACTGGTAAATATTGAACAATGGACTTATTATAAGTTATTTCTCAACTTTATTTTACACACACATAATTGACATTATTTTATATATTTATCTATTTTATTCATTATCATATAAAAATCTGAAATATTTATTATATAACTATAATAGTTTTAAAACGTTTTGTGCCATATGCATTATTACATATATATTAATTATATTTAAGATATACGTAGGCGTTTTCTAAATAATATCATTAAATGTTAATGTTATATTTTTACAAATGTTTTATTCTAATAATAATAAAAATTATTAAAATAAGGTAATTATATTTATGAAATTAATAATACGTGCAAGTAACAAACAATTGTCGTAACGTTACATGTTACAGAAATTAGATTGGTTAGTATAAAATAATTACACTGTTCGAAACACAAAAAGTTTTTGTTGAGATTTTTACAGCGTATTTTTAAGATTTTTTCATGTTGATTACGAATCCGGCCATGAAAATTGCGTATCACGTCAGGTTTGTTAAATATCTTGATCTAAATATGCGAGAAAGAGCATTTAAGACACTTTTCTGTAAAATATAGCTTTTAATTGGAACGTGATCAAAAGTATTACAATGATTCAAAATCAAGTTTAAAACTTGTAGTTTATGAAAAAAATATATAAAAGGTCAAATCTATAAAGAGTTAAAGTGAATGATTCTACCAAACGTCTAAAGACTTTGTATTAGTATAAGAAAAATTGCGAAAAATGATATTTTAAATTTCTTAATTTAGTTTTTGCAATAAACTCTTTATAGATTCAACTTTTTTTATCTTTTTAACATAAATTACAAGTCTTAAGCTTTATTTTGAGCCGACGGAGCACTTTTCATCACGTCCCAATTAAAAGCTGTTTTACAGAAGAGTGTCTAAAATGCCCTTTTTCGCATATTTAGATCAAGATATCTCAAAATCCTGAAGTAAAACGCAATTTTCGCGGCCGGATTTGTAATCAGCATGAAAAAATCTACAAGAATACGCTTCGGAAACTTTTTCTGAACCTGCAAAAAGTTATTTTTTGTCGAGCAGTATTATTATTTATTCACAACTAAAATCAATTTTATTTTATGATATACAACAATATCTTGCACAGTTTTATTTTTGCTACTATTTTAAGTATTAAGATGACATTTTTATAATTAATCTTCTATATGCATTTGCATTTTATTTATCGACGATATTAAATTTTTCATACGTTTTTAATTTATAATTTATATAAAGAAAGTATGAAACAAAAATTGAAATAAGTTCAAAAATAACTATATTAATGATAAATTTATTCAGAACAATAAGAATTGATAAAATTTATGTACTATTCGACAGGATATTATCGCGTTAACTATGATGAAGAAAATTGGCAAAGAATTACAAATTATCTACACTCTCGTAATTACAAGAAAATTCATGTTCTTAATCGTGCTCAAATTATCGATGATGCATTCAATTTAATGATAGCAGGCCATCTCCATTCCTATATATTCTGGAACATTATATCGTATTTGCATCAAGAAGAAGATTATATAGCATGGTATCCTTTGTTTAAAGCTTTGGAATATATATGTAGTACTTTTCCAGTGTTGAAAGAAAAAATTGGATATTTTACGGTAAATATTAATAAAGAGTGATGGCGAAAAGACCTGTTTTTTCGCCCATTTTATAGAGTCGAATTTTGAGACCTCAAATTTCAAACTTTTTTTATGTCAAATAGTACTATATGATGAGACATTAATCCCAAAGAAATTTCAAGATAAGCATAGACACGGTTCCGGAGATACAAGCAGGTGCAAGTGATGATTTTTAGTCAAAGATGACAAACTATCACATTCGCTTCTTCATATCTTCGGAACCGTGTCTATGCTCATCTTGAAATTTTATTGCGGGATTAGGTAATGTACTAATAGTACTATTTATGATGAAAAAATGTTCGAAATGTAAGGTCTCAAAAATGGGCGAATTTGCCATCACTCTTTCAATAAAAATATTTAAATATTTGCATATACACTCATTGATCACAAATAATTTACAAATTTAGAAAAATATATCCAGCAACGATAACATTTTACATACTATTACGTCGCAAACAAATGTGCAAACAAATTTTGTTTAAATAATCATTCACCTAAAGAACTGTCCGAAAAGTCTATGATTTGCACTACTGCCAATATTATTGCTATATAACATTGTTATTGAATATATGTATAGCAAAGAGCTTAAAATCTTATATATTAATTATAAAATATTATATAATCAAAAAATTTAATTATATATTTCTCAAAAATATATGTTTTATACCTTATTTAAAAATAAAATATGATTCATAAATAGTTATAAAACTTTAATATCTATTAAATATTGTAAACATTTCGCACAAATTAAATCATATTTTTGCGTACATGTATAATACATATATGTATATTTGCAAGTACATATATGTACGTGAATAGATAGCGTCTATAAGTGAATTTTTATGTATTTTTGTTTCATAGAAAGAAAAAATTTTAAAAATCTCTTGGAAAATAATAGTAAAATATAATTATTATTAAATACATTTATAATACAAACAAATAAATATATATTTAACGATTTGTAGGAAAGAATAAATAACATATTATATCATGTACTTAGAAGAATCAAATATGAAGAAATTGATGATATAGACGAACTTAGAATATGTTTACGACAAGAAGCTGCAAGATGGGCATGTCTTCTTGATGATATCACTTGTACGAAAGAAGCCAACAATAAATTAGAACAACATCTCCAAGATCTTGAAAAACACAAGTAACTATTGTTATATATTGTTAGCTTTTTTTAATCAAATTCTCCTGTAGGCATCGCCTACAATGTTTAAATAATTTGATTAAGATATCCATATGTTAGTTTTTATTAAGAAAATTTAATTTTTTTATGTTATAGACTTTTGCCATGGTGGAAGGAATGGACATATTGTAAAGGTTTGATGATAAATACCAACAAACCGACTTGGGAATCAGTGTATGCTATAGGTGTTGCAAAAAAAGACACTAAATTTTTAGAATACTTGGCTTGCACTAAAGATGCTGATATAATTAAAAACTATTTAAGATATAAATCTATTTTTAAAAAGAAAATCAATATCTTCTTAACAGTTTCTTATATATTATTACGAAGCATGCGAATAATCAAATTATTCTGAAGGACATATTAGATAATTTTTTTGTTAACATAAGGCTAAAGTAATGTGACATATTTTTAGAAGTATTTTGTAAAAATATATTGTGTTTTATATATACATTTGTTTTTTCGTTTTCAGACATGTTCATTTAACTGCAGTATTAATTATTATTATTAATAATGTATATTCCGTAAATCTTCTAACTGAGGTAAAAGTTTTACATGTTTATATATGTATACAAAATGTAATAATAATGCAATGTTAATAATTATTATTTAATGTTTAAATAATTTTGATAATGTTATATTAATGTTGTTTATTAATAATGTTAAAAAATAATACATTTTAGGAAATAAACGAACACGTTAAATGGTTGAAAGCCTATGCAAAGATATTATTTGATGAAATAAAAGAAATGGTAAATTTAATAAATATTATTATGAAAATCGAAAGAAAAATAAATATTGTTCTATCTTGCTTATTAACTTCTGCGTATTAATTTTATATTAGTTTTGTTTATTATATAAACAGTATATTGATTTTATTGTGCAAATTTTTGTTTATACCTATTAGGATTCCATAATGCTAAATTCTGACAAAGCTGAAAACAAGATATCAATTCGCAAATATCAAATCGAAAGACAGAAAGAGTATTATAGTCGGTTTTTCTTGTAGTGAAATTTAAAAAATTGCAGCTTTCTATACGTGGATATACTTCATATGAATATTTTTATATTGTATGTATTATTTATTTTACTGCTTTAATTATTATTGTTTTTTTAGATGTATTACTATTCGACGCCTCTGTATTTACTAAATTTCATGACTTAATGTACCAAAAGCTTTTCATTTTTTTTTGTGAACTTGTATGAAGTAGTTCAACAATATATTATTACCTATGTTGTCACAAGAAAATAGCCATATAATATTACAATAAATTTTACTCTTAGATATAATATGATTATATAAATGTATAAATATATAAATAATATGAATATATAAATATGCTTGTTGAATGATAAATGCACTTAAATGTATTATCTATATATTTTAAATTATATATTGATTTGTTTTCAATTTTTTTACATTAATTAATAAAATTATATGTTTACGTACACATATACACAAGTATATATATATATATATATATATATATATATATAACAATTTGTTATTTAAATATTATAAAAATTTACACACAACATATTTGTGTTTATATGAATTATAAAAATTCGTCTTTTTATATTAAAAAAAAATATTATATATATATATATGTGTGTGTGTGTGTGTGTATGTATAAAATCATAATATTATATATTATATCATACGTAGGTTATATATAAAGATCATATTATATATTAATATATTAATACATTATAATTAATACAGTATAATAATTAATGAATAACAATACATATTTTTTGAATAATACACATTTTTTAGTAATTAATAAATGATTATATATATATATATATATATATATATATATATATATATAAGCTTGTATAACTAGAAGAATTAGTAATACGTTAACGTTATATGTACACTATTATAATTATATGTGCCATATGTTGAATAATTAAATATTTGACATTTAATATTATAATCTAAAATTTGTGATTGATTAGCATTTTTTCTTTACAAGAAATCACGTCTTTCTCTCCCCCCTCTCCCCCTTTTCACTCACTTTTATGTAAATCCACATTCTAATTTCAAAGTTACTTATATAAAATATTAATCTTAATATTAATATTTATATAAATTTATATTTCATAACTTTAAAATCGTGCAACATAATTCGGCGCTCCATGCTAATGTTTCTAATGGACTTAAAAATATTGTAAGTTGTGTCAATATGAATTGTAACTCACAATTATATTTAAAAGATATATAAGCATAGAAAGAAGATAAAAAGTATAAATTTAAAATTTTTTGTTCTCAAATTGATGTTTGCGACAATAATTGCGCGTTTAACATGTGTATTTTCCAATCAACGCGATGAATTTATATATTAAGAAATTATCTCATTATTCTATTTGCCTCTCTATTATTTATTATTTCTTACTATTATTTTAATGATAAATGTCGAATCTATTTTAGTAAAATAAAATTTGTACATCAATGTTGCAACATGCACAAAAAATTCGAAAAAATAGAAATCCATTATACTAAAACCGCAAAACAATATAAATATATCTTAAAAGCTTTCTATAGCTCATCAATTAGATTATAAAATGGGAGCTACTATGTAATACATGCGCGTTAAATTAAACTATATATATGTATATTAATAATGCATAATATTATTTTTATAAATATTAGATACATTTTACTTTTATAATATCTTTACCTTTATATTTTTAACTTATTTATACTATCTCTTATTAATTTTTAATATTTTTATTAACTATATATTAATATTAAAATTATTGCGTGTGAGCATGCGTGCGTGCGTGCGTGCGTGTGAACGTGTGTGCGTATATATTATTAAGATAAAGATATTATTAGGATAAATATATTATTAGGATAAAATTGTCGAAAACGATGAATATATTACAAGATATTACATCATATATGTTGTAGAAATGTTTATCGAAATAAGTAAGATATAAATTTGTAAATAATGCATATTTATATGATTAATTGGCCGAAATTTGAAAGTGCTTAATTAATACAACTGTTACATACAAATGCCGTCGCACACGCATACGCACAAACAGAAACTCACGCGCGCACACACACACACACACACACACACACACACACACACACACACACACACACACACACACACACATATATATATATATATATATATTTATATTGACTTCAGAAGATTTGTTGTCCTAACGTATCACATTTATCGCACGATGACATGTATAGAAAATCAGTCAGCCTTTCGTGGTCTTTCGAACCATATCACGGTAGACAATAATTGTAATAAGGCGTGTGTGAATATTACATCCCTTCAACATTGCGCACAGTGCTAAAACATTAACTTGCTGCAGTTAATTTAAAAAATATAATTTTTATTAATATAATTTTCCAATTAACATTCTGCTCCGTAATATTGGGTAAGTCAAAAACTTAATTAAAATTTGTCGTACTTATTATTTTATAAAGAAATATCTGTGCGCATTTTAACATTTAAAATTATTTTTAAATTGTGCTGACATTGAGTAGAAAATAACTGTAACAAAAAAGAAGAATCAAATATTAACTTTGTTGTCAAAAATAATGTATACAATTAAGAAAAATAAAAAAACAAATTAATTTTATTAAATAAGAAATAAATATAAATATAACATCTAAAAATAAGTAGAATTATATAAATTATTTGTAAGTTAGAAATAAACAGAATATAAAATATTTTACGTATAATGTTTTAAATAAAATATTTGATATAAAACATTCAATACGCATATTAATATTAAATTAAGAACGCACAAACAATAGTTCATATAGATTTAATAAGATACTCTATTAAAGCTGAAACGTTTTCAGATATGTAAATTAAATTTAACGTAAAAAAACTGTTAATCTCGGCTCGAATTATTGTTTACAATAAAAATAAAATATCGACGGCAATCGGAACCT